GTACATCGTGGTTGGGGGAGGAGTTCAAAAGGCACAGCGCAAGCGTGTTTACGGGACAAGAGCTATGGGGCAGGGGTGGAGGGGATGAGTCCAGGGAGGACGGAGCACACTAGGGATGAGTGTAGAGGGAAAAAGAGGTGTTTGTGGGGATGGCGATAGACTCAAGTAGCTGTTGTCACTTTGGGCATCGTTCCGGTAGACCTGACCTTGTGCCACCTTGGATTTGCTGTCCGAGACGGCTGTGACCAGGCCTCGTGAGTCTCCAGCAGGGAAGGCTCTCCCTGCTTGATGGCCGTGTCTGCACAGAGGACCGGCATGTGAGCGAGGAAGGAGCCCGGGATGACTTGGAGGTGTCTGGGAAGTGCGACTAGAAGGTGGTGGCACCTGAGGCCCTGGGGATGAGCAAGCCCACCCAGGGAGAATGCGTGTGCAATAGAGCATGACATGGAAGGATGGCACGGGATAGAACCTTCGAGACAGGCCAGGGTTTAAGGCGAGTGAGAAAGAAGAATTATAGAGGCGGGAGATCACGGGGACAGTGAAGCCAGAGGGCAGTGTTTTCAAGAAGGGACTGGTCACAACTGTCAAGAAGGAGGAGAGATATCTCTCATTGAGAGACAAAATCATTAGTTTTCTACACTATGTTTAAGAAACCCAAGGTAGTCAGTCATCTGAAAAACAATTCCTTTTTTTTTTTAAATGTTTATTTTTGAGAGAGAGAGCACGCGAGCAGGGGAGGGACACAGAGAGAGGGAGACACAGAATCCGAAGCAGGCTCCAGGCTCCGAGCTGTCAGCACAGAGCCCGATGCAGGGCTCGAACCCACAAACCGCGAGATCATGACCTGAGCTGAAGTCAGACGCTTAACCGACTGAGCCACCCAGGTGCCCCAACAATTCTTTTTTTTTTTTTTTAAGTTTATTTATTTATTTTGAGAGAGGGAGTGAAATAGAAAGAGCGCAGAAGCCGGGGAAGGGCAGAGAGAAGGAGAAATAGAATCCCAAGCAGGCTCCGAGCCATCAGTGTAGAGCCCGACGCGGGGCTCTAACTCACCGGAGCTGTAGTCGGACGCTCAACAGACTGAGGCTCCCAATCGTCCCTCATATTAACTGTTTGAAAGTGAACAATTGAATGGCATTGAGTACATTCCCAGTGTTGTGCCGCCGTCACGTCTGCCTAGTTCCAGAACATTCTCATCGCCCTAGAACAGTAACTCCCCTTTCCCCTCTCCCCTTATTCACTGCAACCGCTGTGCTATTTTCTCTCCCTGTGACTTTGACAATGTTTGTCCTTTTGTGTCTGGCTTCTTTCACTGAAAGGGTGTTTTCAAGACTTGTCCTTACAGCAGCAGGTATCAAACTGTTCTTGCTTTTGGGGACTCGGTAATATCCCGTTGTATGGAGAGCCGACATTTTGTTTAGCCAGTCAGCAGTTGACGGCCATTTGGTTGTCTCCACCTTTGGGCACTTGTGAATAGCTCATTGTTCTTCCCTCACTACCTCCAAGCTCTCTTGCCTTCTTCCTACTGTGAATCTCAGGTTTCTGCCTCTGGACTATTACCTTTGTCATTTCACTCTGGAATGCTCTTCTCCCAGACCCTCCACGGCTCTCTCATTTCCACCAGTGCAGCTCGAAGGTCATATTGTCAGGGAAGCCTTCGTGGTCATTTGTTTTTAACGTTCATTTTTGAGAGAGAGACAGAGCACGAGAAGGGGAAAGGGAGACAGAATCTGAAGCAGGCTCCAGGCTCTGAGCAGTCAGCACAGAGCCCGACACGGGGCTCGAACCCACAAATCATGAGATCATGACTTGAGCCCAAGTCCGAAGCTTAACCGACTGAGCCACCCAGGCGGCCCTTTCCTGGTCACTTGTTATCGCTGTTATCTTATTGTCTTCACAGTACATATATCACTATCTGAAAGGGATAAGTCATAGTGTCGAGGCAAGAGATTGTTTTTGGAATTGTGCCTTTGGCCTCCTTAGCTATCCAGTGAGGCCTATGGACTCATTCTTAGAATAACGGTTTGAAATGCCTCAATTACGCCACTTATACCAGAAATACAGTACCCGAAATGTTTTCAAATAGCGAATTTGTAATCCATGCCCTTCCTTCTTCATTCCTAAAATAATATCTATACACAGGTCCACAACTCTCATCATTTAGAAGGTGTGTAAGCATAAATGCTATTTTGAGCTAGTTGCAACAACTGTAATAGGAAGTCAACATATCAGTGATTTCTATTGACTGTGAAATCGCAGGTGCTGCTAAAATTACCGTAGCTCGTTACGTACACTTGTGCCTGGAGAAATTGCTAAGCTTCTGTGAGAACTTGGTGACGACTATGTGGTTCTCTTCCTACCCAAATTCGTGGATCCTATGAATTCTATCCATAGACCCCTTGAAGGTCCGTGGATCCCAGGTGATGAGCCCTTTCCCTAAAACATGAAAGACAAAGAGTAGTGACGATGAGGGGTGGCTTATGTTGGCAATGGGTTTTGGAGGAGATGAAAGAGATTGTAGGGAGCTGGGGAATAATGAGCAAGAAGAAAGCTGTCCTCTCCACCCTCCGTGGAACTTGGATGTGAGAGACATCGAAATGTCCAGCTGAGAACGTATGTGAGGGAAGCCACGGCTGAGAAGGGGAGTCAGGTATCACCCAGGAGAAGGGGACATTTGTGCGGAGACTATCTCTGGGAGTAAGGGATTTTGTTGATCATGAACTGGAGGCCAGTGAGCACAGCGGAGTGGGGCGGAACGCTTACCCTCTTCCAGATCAGCATGCCGGGGACACCGAGGACACACAGATGAGTAAGACAAAGATGAGTCACCCATTCAGGATTAGTCTAAACTAAATGCCATAGGTCGATGGCCTGGTTTGGCTGGTCTGATCCGAGCCCTGCTTTGGAGATGCAGGAGCAGAAAGAGAGGCCCCAGGTATTACCAGTGACTGGGGTGGGGGGGAGAAAAGCTCAAAATGTACTCTTTCCGTTCCTTTCGTAGAACCAAAAAACCAAGTTTAAAAAAAAGAGAGAGAGAGAGTTATATAATGGAGGGGAAAAAAGAGGTGTTGCCATGATTAGATAACTCAAATGAGCCCATCACCCAAAAGTTAATTAGATAAGTCTAAGGTCCCCCCACCCTTACTCTGAATTCTTCAGGAACCTTCTAAGGATGTCTGCAACCAAGAGATTCTTGGATGCCGTTACCCTTCAGAATGTTTGGCTCAGAGGGATCAAAGGAAGAAAAAAAAGGGATTTTATTTTTAGATTGTTCTCTGAGGCTCCAGAGATACTTGCATGGATCTCTCCTCTGTATGTGGCTCTCAGAATCTAGGATTTGATGATTCTTCTTCTTCTTCTTCTTCTTCTTCTTCTTCTTCTTCTTCTTGCAGGTGTAAAGCATGGGCTGGTCCCTGCACCCCCTTTGATCACGTTTCCATCCACCAGTGGGGACCTATCTGCAAACTCACTGCCCGAGGCTGGATCGCAAACCTCTTCTAGCTTGAAGGGAGGAAGCCCCGGACGGGCAGCAGACAGACAGGGAGATAAGAGAGACAGGGAGATGGGGCGCCTGGGTGGCTCAGTCGGTTGAGCGTCCGACTTCGGCTCAGGTCATGATCTCACGGTTGGTGGGTTCGAGCCCCACGTCAGGCTCTGTGCTGACAATTAGCTCAGAGCCTAGAGCCTGTTTCGGATTTCTGTGTCTCCCTCTCTCTCTGACCCTCACCTGATCACACTGTCTCTATCTCTCAGAAATAAAAAAAAAATAAAAAAAAATAAAAAGAGAGAGAGAGACAGGGAGATAAGAGCAGAGGCAAAGCCGAGGCAAAGCTGACCTAGTTAGAGCAGGAACAGGCTGCAGGGGCGGCAGGGATGACCTGGGAGAGAAGACAGCCTCCCAGACCAGGGAGGAGCCGAGGACTGGCTCTTGTTTAAGACGTCCTGGCAAGACTTGGGGTCATAAAGGGGACTTTGCGTGGAGACTCAGTGAGCTGGGTGTGGAGGGGAGGATCTTTACCAAATTTTGTCCAAATGCTTAGGTTTTAAAGTCACGCTCCTGAAGGAAATGAGAACCAGAAAACTGTCCGGACCTCAGGCGAGCCGCGCGAGCAGTGCCATGAACCCAGCAGGACTGGGCAGAACCCAGAGCGTTCTGACAAGATTCCCTGTCCCAGCCGCCACTTGGTACCCAGCTCCCGTACTAGGCACGGGGGGAGATGGAGGAAGCAAAGATAGGGACCCGGCCTGGAGCCCAATCAGCACCCCCCTTCCGATACTGCCGATGAGCTCCACACTGCATTGGGGTCCCGTGGGGGGTAGCCAAGTGCCCGTCATGGTCTCTGCCCCTCCGGGGGACGCAGTCTATTTGAGGGGACGGTAATCCTTGTGAAGCAAGAGTAAGCGATCCAATAACGTAATAGGCTTTTATGCTCTGGGGTCACAAAAGGCATTTCTGGCAGAAGTGGGGAAGGCCATATGGAAGAGGAGGTGGCATTCTGTGGCCCTGAGGTCTTGGAGGGCCACAGAAGGTCAGGACTGGGACAAGAAGAGAGAGGTGGGGCATTCCAGAGAGAAGGTACACTGATAGGCCTAAGTTTGGCGCCTGCGCGGACCGCAGCCCGACAGGACTGGAGACCCATTGAAGGGAGATGGAGAAACCCAGGAGGATGGGGAGAGTCAGATTACCGAGGGCAATTTCAACTTCTAAAAGGGACCGGATCAGGGCACCCGGGTGGCTCAGCCGGTTGAGCATCCAACTTCAGCTCGGGTCATGATCTCGTGGTTCGTTGAGTTCAAGCCCCGCATCAGGCACACTGCTGTCAGCCCATCCGCGCAGAGACCACTTTGGATCATCTGCTCCCCACTCTCTCTGCCCCTCCCCTGCTGTATCCTCCCTAAAATAAATAAATATTAAAAATAAAATAAAATAAAATAAAAGGGACTGAATCGAAATCCCGGGGTCGGAAGCAGTCAGGCCATTTCCCTGTTCTCCCCTTCAGCTACAAGCCTATCGTGGAATTCATCGATGCCCAGTTCGAGGCCTACCTCCAGGAAGAGCTGAAGATCCGCAGGGTGTTGCACGCCTACCATGACTCCCGAATCCACGCCTGCTTGTACTTCATCGCCCCCACGGGTCATTCCCTGAAGTCTCTGGACCTCGTGACAATGAAGAAGCTGGACAGTAAGGTGCGGAGGCAGGGCAGGTGGGGCAGGGGGCTGGGCCAACCGGAATCGCGCTTACTGCTCTCTTGTGCAACGAAGGTGCCAGATTCCGGGAGAGGATTCGCAGCCTCCTCTTCCTCTCCTTCCTTCCCTGTCCCTCAGACGGTGTCCCAGAAACATGGTGTCATTGACCCAGCAAACCTGCACTGTCTGCTTCGTGATCTGTTTTGCCAGTGCTGGACGTGGGTTCACCCTTGAGCTGTCTTGCTACCCTGATCCCTCTTGGTTAGGATAAGGGTGGATAGAAGCAAGGTGGCTGGCGGCGTCAAGGGGCTCAGCCCTTGGCAACAGAAAGGTGTTTTTTATTTGCTCCAGTATTCACTGGGCTGCCCTAGAATCAAACGTGCAAAACTTGACTTCAGAAGGTATTGTGTTTTACGATCCGTAATTATTTTAACAACTATGGCTAATGTTTGTCAAGTCCTCATGCTACGCCACTAACGTGCGAGCCCCTCCTGGAATAGCTCTTTGGATTCTCACAATTCTGTAGGCAAGTGCTATCGTTATCCCCCCCGTTTACAGAAGGGAAAACTGAGGCTCTCAGAGACTAATGACTTGCCTGTTGTCATATAGCAGCTCCCGGCAGCCTCTAGATTCGAACTCAGATCTGTGACGCCGGGTGATATGACCTCCATTCCTGCAAAAGGTGGTGGTGGGAATCAGGCATGTCCCACCTTAAGAGAAACTGGAAGACGTAAGCCCCACACCAGATATCGATTCGACAAGGATTCTTCATGTTGAAGGATCGTTTGCTTTCTGAAGAATAGATGCAGGATCCTTTATTTTTTTAATTTTTTTAATGTTTTATTTATTCTGAGAGAGAGAGAGAGGCAGCGTGAGCAGGGGAGGGTCAGAGAGAGAGGGAGACACAGAATATGAAACAGGCTCCAGGCTCTGAGCTGGCTGTCAGCACAGAGCCCGATGCGGGCCTCGAACCCATGAACCGTGAGATCATGACCTGAGCCAACGTCGGACGCTTAACCAACTGAGCCACCCAGGCGCCCCGATATAGGATCCTTTAAAAAAAAAAACAAACCCAAATACATTTCCCCCTGACATTTCATATGAGCCTGGCACTGTGATGAGTACTTGAGATGCATTATTTTATTTCATCCTTCTGGTAATCCAGTGTGATAGATACTATTATTCCCATTCACTCATGAGAAAACTGAGGCACAGAGGGTCGAGTAGCTTGCTCCAGGTCAGACAGCCTGTCATGGGTCTGTGATTTGGACCCAGCTCTGTCTGACTCCGAGGTGTGTCTATGGGGACAAGGTGAAAATTGATGAGAGGGCATAGGCTCTGCCTACTGTCCCATCTTGGCTTTGACCCCCAGGCCCCGTGCGAAGACTTCAAGAAAGGTACCTGCAGGGTCCAGCCCTTTCACCTAGAACCCGAACCTGGTGGAAGCCTTCAGAGGTTCTCCTAAGGCCAAGTGTGAAGCGGGCAGGGTTCATCTTCCAAGGGAGAGCCCCTTCTGGGGCCCAAGCACCATTCACGCTGCCGCGCTGGAACCTGCTGGCAGGAACGCCTCTGGTCGCCACGTGAACCTGAACTTAGGTGTCCCTATCTCATGAAGACTTGTGCATTTCGCGATTCTTTTTTTTTTTTAATGATTTTTATTTATTATTTTTGAGAGAGAGATAGAGACAGTGTGAGCAGGGGAGGGTCAGAGAGGGAGACACAGAATCTGAAACAGGCTCCAGGCTCTGAGCTAGCTGACAGCACAGAGCCCGATGTGGGGTTCGAACCCACGGACCGTGAGATCATGACCTGAGCTGAAGCTGGACGCTCAACCACCTGAGCCACCCAGGCGCTCCCATTTCACGATTCTTTACCTTCCAGCAGCAAAAGCCTTGTCTCTTCTTGGAGTAATTTCAAGGAGCAGGGTTCAGGTGGATTGAACTTCGGGGTGGCATTGGGCCCTCCCCCTGCTGTCTGAAATCAGGCTTGTCTACCTGCTTTTTTTTTTTTTTTTTTAAATGTTTTATTTATTTCTGAGACAGAGAGAGAGAGAGAGAGACAGCGTGAGCAGGGGAGGGTCAGAGAGAGAGGGAGATACAGAATCTGAAACTGGCTCCAGGGTCTGGGCTGGCAGTCAGCACAGAGCCCGACACGGGGCTCGAACCCACGAACCGTGAAATCATGACCTGAGCCAAAGTTGGACGCTTAACCGACTGAGCCACCCAGGCACCCCTACCTCCTTTCTTTATGCGGAAATTAATCGTGAAACTCAGGGAGTATAACCCTTTTTGCATTGAGTCTCGATCAAACTGAGGGGGTCTCCTTCACCCAGCCGGGTTTGGTCCATAAGTTTGCTGACATAAAGGGGGCTGGGTGTGCATCTTCAGCAAGCTCTGGCCTGCCTCCCCTCTCTGCTGTCTGTCGCCCCAGTGGGTGGGTCACTATCACCCTGACTGGGGCTAGCCCACACTGGATAAGTTGGGACAATTTACTGTTAACAAGGAGTGGCCACCTCCCCCCTTGTCAACTGCCGATTCCCAGCTGTCATCCTTCTGCTCTGAATCATCCAAGCAGAGAGGGGCGCCTGGGTGGCTCAGTCAGTTAAGTGTCCAACCTTGGCGCAGGTCATGATCTCAGGGCTTGTGGGTTCGAGCCCCACGCCAGGCTCTGTGCTGACAGCTCAGTGGAGCCTGCTTCGGATTCGGTGTCTCCCCCCTCTCTGCCCCTCCCCCACTCCCGTGCTCTGTCTCTCAAAAATAAACGTTTTTAAAAAATGAATCTCCCAAGCAGTGATCTTGATACCAAGATATCACACAGCTCATCAGTTTGGGTCTGAGGTGATTAAGACTATGGATTTGGGAATAAGGCTAAACTTGGGTCTGGATCCCAGTTCTCCTGCTTACCTGCTCTGTTGCTTTGGACAAGTTACTTAGCCTCTCTGTGCCTCAATTTCTCATTGGTAGAACGAGAGGGTTGTTGTCAGGATGAGTTGGCTTAATCCACTTAAAGCACTTAGTTCAGTACTCACCACTTAGCAAGCAGCACCCATTGTCATTTATTCTATTGTTACCTGGCTACAGAGGTGGCCAGTCCTTGACCACTGGGTTGAGCTGTTCCTCTGACCACTGGCAGAGGTCCTCTGTCACGCTGCTATCGGCCACAGATCACCAGCAATGAGCCTGCTTTGCTCCTTCCTTCCCCAGGTGAACATCATCCCCATCATCGCCAAATCAGATGCCATTTCTAAGAGCGAGCTAACGAAGTTCAAAATCAAAATCACCAGTGAGCTTGTCAGCAACGGGGTTCAGATCTACCAGTTCCCGACAGATGATGAGTCCGTGGCCGAGATCAATGGAACCATGAACGTGAGTTCAACTGGGGTTCCATTTTCCCACCATTTGCCGTTTATTTGTATTATTATTTGACGAACTAGCCATCGGACATCCGCGTCCATTTTAGTGTGGTCGACTCTCGATCGTCCAAGTCTCGGGGGTTTGTGAGAAAGGATCCAGAACCAAAGCAGCTCCTCTCCCCTAGTGGTGGCTGCTTGAAAGCCTCAGAGATGCAGAGATTACTTGCCAGAGACCGAGGGAGGGAAAGGCCAACTTCTGGAAGAGTCTGGAGCCGGGGATCGGACTTCTCCGACCACCCTCCTCTTTGATGCCGCCCTGGTCTAAGCCAGCCCCCATGGGACTGCCAGAAAGGCAAACAGTCCTCATCTCTGACCCAAACAATGCCATGACAACCATGGCCCCAAAGCTGGCTTGCTCCCAAGACTCCAGAATAATCTGTGCTCGGAGAACGGAGCCCTCTGCTCCCAGGAGGGAAAATGACATAGAGCCTCCGATTTGTCTGGTGACTAGAGAAAAGTTGTCTTAAAGTTTGGGGGTGATGCTTTGCTTTATTAAGTGCAGATGAATCCAAAAAATCACCCCGATTTGCCATCTTTCCTTCCTCTCCCATTCCCCCGCCCCCCCAACTGGAAGAATGAGTAACGAGGGAAGGCGAGGAGTCAAATATCTCCTCATGCTTCTTTACAACGTGTTGATGCTGTTGCTGTTCAATGTTGTGATTTCAAGGAGACAGCTAATGGCTTTCAGAAAGCCTCTGCTTTGGGAACAGATTTTTTTTCCCTCCCTGTTGAGAGGCATCAGTTTTTCCTAATGACATAATGCCTGGGTATAGCCAAACTCAGGAAAGCCTTGTAATAAAAGCCATTTTTAGAAAAGTATCCTGCCGCCGCCGCCGCCGCCCCTCAGTTATCATGATGGCATCAGCCGCCACTGCCTGTGAACTGGCCAACAAATTAGCGTGGCGGGGAGGCAAGTCATTGTCTTCCCCTGACTTCCTACCCGCCGGCGCACCTGAGATATGTTTGTGATTGGGAGGCCCTCGTCATCTCCGACAAATCGGGCCGAAGGGCAAGGCTCTGTGGAGGGTGGTGGGCGGATCTCTGTCCTCTCGGACCAATCTGAGCAGGGAAAAGAGAAGGGGGGGGGACAGAAAGATGAGTGCTTGCTCTCTCAAGCAGTCAGGGTGTTTTGATGGAAGCCAGGCTCTGTCATGAGAAACCCTGAAAGGGCGCCTGGCCTGTAGGAAAGGGGAGTCTGGAGAGAAGGGTCCTGTGGTGTCACTGGCCTGGAGCGTTGAGTCACCTCAGAACATCAGGCCCCATAGAGCCCTTCAAGCTTGGGTTCCCTACTGGGATGCCTGGGCGGCTCTGTCGGTGAAGCGTCCAACTCATGATTTTGGCTCAGGTCATGATGTATTTAAGCCCCGCATTGGGCTCCACGCTGATGGCACGGAGCCTGCTTGGGATTCTCTCTCTCTCTCTCTCTCTCTCTCTCTCTCTCTCTCTCTCTCTCTCTCCCCGGCCCCTGTTGTGCTCTCTCTGTCTCTTCCTCTCTCCTTCCAAAGAAATAAACTTAAGGGGCGCCTGGGTGGCTCAGTTGGTTAAGCATCTGACTTCGGCTCAGGTCATGTTCTCATGGCTCATGGGTTTGAGCCCCGCGTTGGGCTCTGTGCTGACTGCCAGCTCAGAGACTGAAGCCTGTTTTGGATTCTGTGTCTCCTTCTCTCTCTGATCCTCCCCTGCTCACGCTGTCTCTCTTTCGCTCAGAAATAGATAAAACATTTTTTTAATTGTTTTAATTTAAAAAATTATTTTAAAAAAAACTTGGGCTCCCTACATCACCATGTAGCTTTCAGGCTTGCAGTTTGCTTTGCTAAGAACAAACAGGGGAAAGAGTTCTATGCAATATTGAGGTGTCACCCTAGGATGACATCTCACTCCATCGCAGATCAGGACTGACAGTCATTTGGGGCTCAGCCTCAAGGTTGGAAGCTTGCCGTGCTACAAAGCTGCGGTTCTCAGCCACACTGCTTTGGCCATGAAGAGGTTGTGGGTCATTTCTTACAACAGTCCCAAAGTGTGCCAGTGTTTCACTTTGAAAAACTAAACTTGAGTGGCTCGAGGGTTATCCCCGTAACAACACCACTCGGCACTCATTCCCCGACACCTGCTATGCTGTTTTGAGTGGGAAGGCGTGGGCCCGGACTTGGGCATGCCCGCGGGAGGGGGGCATGCATGCGAATGCCTCTTGTGAGGGCCAGCCAGAGTGGGGAGTCGCTGCTGCAAAATACATACAGTGGTTTGCTCAGCCTGTCTGCCACCCGGACGGCCGTGTCGAGAGTCCCCAGGGTCTTCAGACAAGCTGTGGTGTATGAAGCTGCCTCCTTAGAAGCCCGCGCCCCACAGCCTCAGCTACCCCAGCCAGTTGTCACGGGGACTGGGTTGGGACACGTGGAAGAGGCCTCTTGCCATCTCGCCGCTCCCCGCTAGGGATTTTCATGGCAGGAAATAAGAGCAATGAGGTCACAGCCTCCCCCTTGGCTTTTGGGTGGGTCTGAGAAAACCACTTCAGATCAGGGGTCAGACAGAGAAGGGAGCTGAGGGGTCTGGCTGCCCGCTACTCTCACGCTGGCTCTGACAACTCTCATGGTTGTGGACTTGAATACCAAATACTATGGGGCACCTGGGTGGCTCAGTCGGTTAAGCATCCGACCTCGGCTCAGGTCATGATCTTGCGGTTCATGGGTTCAAGCCCCGCGTCGGGCTCTGTGCTGACAGCTCAGAGCCTGGAGCCTGCTTCAGATTCTGTGTCTCCCCCTGTCTCTGCCCCTCCCCTGCTCATGCTCTGTCTCTCTTTTTCTCTCTCAAAAATAAAATAAATATTAAAATTAAAAAAAAAATACTAAAAATTGCTACGTTGTTCAAATTGAATGTTGTTCTTTGAATGGCTCAAGCCATGGCCAGGGGCCAGGAAATGGGCCCAGTTACTTGACTCGGCTCAGGTGGTCGGCCATCTGTGAGGTTTTAGGTTTGGCTCCCACAAAGGCGTACAAGCCCGGGGAGGGCACGAGGCTGACCAGTGGAGTCGCAGGGAGACCCACAGCCGTGAGCCTCTCCCTTCTCCCGAGGCGGCACTGCCATTTCCGATGTTTGCACGTCCTTTGGCGAGAGTCACCGAGGGTTGACCCGAGAGAGCATGAGGCAGTGCGCTTGCTCAGTCTCCAGTCGGGGCCTGGAATGGGAAATCTTGTCCACCCTGGGAGGAAGCCACTCCCGATCGGGTTATTCTCAGACAAGGAATAAACAGTCCTGACGGTCTGCAATTCACCAGGCCAAGGGGAACAGCCGTCCAGCCTCCCAAGCATCATGGATGTGCTGGAGCTGGAGTAGAATAATTCATGCCAGTTAGATCATCAAACACTTACTTTATTTTATTGTTTTAAGTTGGGTTCGATTCTACTTTTTTTTTTTTTTTCATTTTTAAAGTGTATTTATTTATTTGAGGAGGGGCAGAGAGAAGGAGAGACAGAACCCCAAGCAGGCTCCGCACCCTCAGAGCAGAGCTGGGCGCGGGGCTCGAACTCACAAACTGTGAGATCATGACTTGAACCTAGATCAAGAAGAGTCAGACGCTTACCCGACTGCGTCACCCAGGTGCCCCTCGCCGAACACTTTAAAACATACTGAGAAGAATTTAAGGTAGTCACAAGACGGGACAAGTAGTGAATGTGAGAACAGACGCCCAAGAGGAGGCTTGAGAGCTTCTCTTGGGTTTCCTGAGACGTGGTGTCTGACATCTGGGGGCACATCTGCCCGTGGCTCGGCAGCAGCGCCGTCTTGCGGCCGTCAGTGCCTCCACCCTGGGCCCCACACATACAAAGTGTCACCCCGGGAGTGTGATTGGTTGGTTTTCCGTCTCGCTGCTCTGCTCGACTCCCTCCTGGTTGTCAAAGTTACGGGTCTCTCAAGAGCGGCAGGAGGGCCGGAGACAGGCTGGCCCCATGATTCCCTGCCCTTCACGGTTAGCTGACTTCCAGCCGATGCCATTTGGCCACAGGGCAGAGCGCAGGCTGCTGTGGCGGCTGGGAGAGGCTGGCCGCTAAAGCACCGCGTCCTTACTGCTCCCCGGGAAGATTAGGGCATGGGAGTCAGGGACCTAGACAAGTTGCTTCCCCCAGATCAGGAATGGGGTGTGTGATCACTGCCCCGTAGGGCCATTGTGAGAAGCCAGTGAAATCTGCTGGGGGGCTGGGCGGGGGTGGGGGGGCTCCGAAATGTTAGCCTCGCATATACTTATCCGAACAGACTTTGATGTCAGTTGCAAAGAGTGTTCTGTGGGAGGTCTCCGGAGCCCTCTGAGGCTGCCTTGGCGGGGGCTGTGTCTTTGAGCGGGGACAGTTAAAATGACAGCGCTGTAAGGCAGAGGGGCAGCAAGTGACCCCGTCATGCTAACTAACAATGTCTTCTGGAGATAAAAATAACAGGCCCAAGGGAATAAAAACCTGATGCTTTGTATGCCTTTATTCTCTTCTTGGGGCTTTTTTTCCTCCTTTCCTCTAGAGCCCAGAGAAGTCCCTCCCACGTGACACATCCTCCTTCACTTTCAGCTGAGAGCAGGGGGTGCCTGAGAAAGATACAAGGCGGTTCTCTTTCTCACCTCCTCCCTCGGTCTATCCCTCAGCTGTCACCACCCTCTGGCTCTTTTGTGTCATGTAGCTGAAGCTTTGGGGCTTCTTCTGTGCAGGAGAGGCAGCAGTTTCCCAGAAAGTGTTTGGGGATGGATTTGAGGTTCCCAACATGTCTTAGGACCCTGAGTGGGAGTGAATTCTGCCCGGATGTCCATCTTACAAAGCCGGATGGCAGAGGTCAGGGAGACTCTGCCCCTTGGGCAGGGCTTTCGGGACTTCAGTGACCCCTGCATTTTGCCAGAATTGAACTGCGTCTTATAACCTGGCCTTGCCCAGCCAAGTTCAGCCCAGGGTTTAGAGTGCTCACCCCACCTGCTGCTTGAATCCCCTACATGGGAGTGGCAGACCAGTGGTGGGCTTTGAAGTCAGAGAATCCTGGGTTCCGTCCCTGGGTCTGGCCCTTACTATGGTGTGTCTCCTGGCAACTGGACCTCAGTTTCCTTGTCTATAAAATGGGGATAATAATACCTAACTTCAGGGTGCCTGGATGGCTCAGTCGGTTAAGCGTCCGACTTCGGCTCAGGTCATGATCTCCCAGTTTGTGGGTTCGAGCCCCGCGTTGGGCTCTGTGCTGACAGCCAGCTCAGAGCCTGGAGCCAGTTTCGGATTCTGTATCTCCCTCTCTCACTAACCCTCCCCTGCTCACGTGCTCTCGCTGTCTCTCTCTCTCAGAAATAAATAAAAAAACATTAAAAAAATAATAATACCTAACTTCACAGCGCTGTTGGAAAGATTCAATTGTTACTACCCCGTCTGTGAAGCCCGCTTTGATTTCGTGAAGTTAGCTGCTCCCTCCTCTGTTCTTCCAGCTTTCGAATCCCTGCTTATAATCTAGACTTTACTGTAGTGTTACTGTTGGCATTGTCTTTCTCCCTTACCAGACTGTGCGCTCTCCGGGGGCAGGCTCTGAGCTTTCTCAACGTTGTGCTGCTAATGCCTAGCACAGAGCAGGGGCTCAGTAAATATTTTGTAGAACGCGTGAGGCAGCAAATGAGTCAGGATATCTGTGACGGACGCCTGTTTCTCCAAGCAGCTACACAAGCTTGCTCCAGCAGACTTCTACTTATCTGTGTAAAGAAAGCCCTTTCGGGTAAGGCCCCCACCCAGGATCACCTGGTTTGTACCAGGTGAATAAATGTGAATAGTGAATAAATAAACACTATTTACTCAGCGGTTCCACTCGGCCAGTGGTCCTGGCACTTGTAACCTGACCACCTCCCTGGGAGCCACGGCGCTGTCTTCCCCAAGCTCCACACTCCCAACTGGGGACAGTTACGTTTTCTCTGACCCACGGAGCCTTCATCAACCAGACCTAGCTCCTCATTACCCCCGCAAGCGCCACACTCATACTCCTGTGTGTGCTTTGCCTCTTTGCCCTGCTACTGACGTTCATGGAGTATTTATGAAGCACCTCTGCTACTGTCATTCAAGGAATTTTTATTAAGCACCTACTATGTGCGGTAACTGGACCATACATTTGAGCCCTTGGTCATATCCTGTCTTAGATGATTCCGGGTATGTAATTCAGGCGTCTACAGGAAGACTCTCAGCTCCCTGAGAGTGAGGGAGTGTGTTTTTTGTCTCCCTTATAGCACCCAAAACAGAACCCAGCACAGTAATGGGCATGTGGGAAAATACTTGTGGACTTGACTTCTAGGCTTGAGAGTTCAGTGCTAGCTCTTGCTCCAAGGAAGGATGAGGACAAGGAGTGTATAGCTCAGTCAGCAGCATGTACCGGTTTTCTGGGGGCTCTCACACTCCGGGGAGGGGACAGTGATCCTAGCCCCCTGGGTCCCCTTCAGCCTCTCTGTCCACACATAGCTGCCTCATCCCACTCACCCACCTTCCAAAGGCTTTCCCCGTCAGCACCTGTGAGTAGTGAACTACTAGCTAATCTACGTATCTGCTCATTATTCCGCTTGTTTTCCATCTTCATCTGTTCTCTACATGTTTGGTCATGTCAGTATGACCTCCCGTCGTGAATTTCTGAACAGCAGAAGCTTGGCTTAGGCCTCTTATCCCCAACACAGCCTGGAGCTTAAGAAATGCCGCTTGGGATGGCCGGGCGCCTGGGTGGCTCAGTTGGTTAAGCATCCGACTTTTGCTCAGGTCATGATCTCATGGTTTGTGGGTTCCAGCCCCGCGTCGGGCTCTATGCTGACAGCTAGCTCAGAGCCTGGAGCCTGTTTCGGATTCGGTATCTTCCTCTATCTCTGACCCTCCCTGGCTCACGCTGTCTCTCTCTCAGAAATAAATAAAACATTAAAAAAATTTTTTTAAATAAATAAATCTTTCTTTTAAAAAAGAAAAAAAGAAATGCCTCTTGGGGCATCTGGGGGGTTCAGTCAGTTAAGTGTCCGGCTTCAGCTCAGGCCATGATCTCATGGTTTGTGGGTTTGAGCCCCATTTTGGGCTCTGTGCTGACAGCGGGGAGCCTGGAGCCTGCTTTGGATTCTGTGTATGTGTCTCTCTCTGCCCCTCCTCTACTTGCACTCTCTCTCTCTTTCTCTCTCTCTCGAAAATAAATATTTAAAAAATTTTTTTAAAAGAAATGCCTCTTGATGATGATGACAAGGAGGGACACCAGGCCCCAGAGCCAGGCCGCAGTTGTATCGAGGGACGCTCGGTGCCCTTCCCCTGAAGCTCTGAGCTTCGGTCTGCCTTCTGTTGCAGGCACACCTGCCGTTTGCTGTCATCGGAAGCACAGAAGAACTCAAGATAGGCAACAAGATGATGAAAGCACGGCAGTACCCCTGGGGCACCGTGCAGGGTGAGTGAATCTCCAGGAAATGGGGACAAGGGAGCCCCTACCGTCTGCCTCTTTGCTGATCTGCAGCCGCTGTCTACCTTGTTCCCGGTCTCTACCCATTCAGCTTGGGCTTCAAACACCCATAGGCATGCTCTGGCCCCCATACCTCCAGTCTCTGCCCTGAGCAAGCTCTCTTTGTCTCTAATGGAAAAACAAAAACAAATGTACGCAGAGCAAGGTAAGAGGGAGTGTGCCAAGAAAGCGTGTGTATTGGCCCGAGTGTACCAGGAGATGTACCTGAATGTAGCACGTGATTAGCCAACAGCCCAGATACCTGTCAAAAATAGATTGGGTGAGTTGCAAAGGTTCACATAATGGCATATTAGACAGTGGTGAGAACGCATGGATTACAGTTACTTGTACACAAATGAATCTCAGAAACATAACGCTGGGCTAAATAAATCATCGCAGAATACATGCTGTATGATTCCATTTATACGAATTCCAAAAGTAGACAAAACTAAACAAGACGTATATTTTTAGGAATTCATATGTAAGTGGTGAAACTATAAGGAAAAATGGAGAGTGATAAAGCCCACAGTCAGGATAGTGCCTGAGTCCCGTTTCAAGACCAGGAAAGGACACAAGGTGTGGGTACTACTTCACTGGGTTGTACGCACATTGGTATTCATTTTTACTTCTTTATTTCTGTATGTATATGATTATCTTACACTTTAGAAACAGACGTATTGGGCGCCTGGGTGGCTCAGTCCATTAAGTGTCTGACGTCGGCTCAGATCATGATCTCATAGTCCATGGGTTCGAGCCCCATGTCAGGCTCTGTGCTGACAACTCAGAGCCCAGAGCCTGCTTTGGATTCTGTCTCTCCCTCTCTCTCTCTCTGCCCTCCCCCACTCATGCTCTGTCTCTCTGTCTCAAAAATAAATAAACATTAACATTTTTTAAAAAAACAGACATATTGTGGGGCACCTTGTTAGCTCAGTTGGTTGAGCGTCCGACTCTTGATTTTGGCTCAGGTCATGATCCCAGGGTTGTGGGATCGAGCCCCACTGAGTGTGGAGCCTGCTTAAGCTTCTGTCTCTCCCTCTGCCCCTCTCCCCCGCTGGCGCGCTCTCTCTCTAAAACAAAAAAGAAATCAGACGTATTGTCTACACACTCAGGAAACTTCTTTTGTGGTTTCCGGGCATGTGGCAAGTCACCCTTGGGACTAGTCAGTCCTGGGGATAAAGCAAGGCCTAGGCCACTGCCACGGGTGGACAAGGTGTCTGGTCCTCCAAGTCTTCAGCTATAGGCTGGGTCTCTGAGCACAGGGGCACCGTGTACGAGAGGGAGGCTGATTCACTGAACACTCATCCCTGCCACTGAGCAAAGAACAGAAAAAGAGTGGGACATTGTCCACCTCCACACAAGGCCAGCGTGCTTTAGGGCATGCCAAAGACCCTCCGGTGATAGCTGGGTTTTCCATAGGTAGGACAAGGCTGGTTAACAGAGCTGTGCTAGGTCGTGGTCCTTCTCTGCCGTCTGGGGCTGAGATCCTCTCCTAGGAACATTTGTGAATGGTTCCTGGACTCACGGTCCTAACCGGGAATGAGTTTGTGGTCTCAGCGGCAGGAACCTGAAGTCAAATGAGAGACCAGCAGATGTGGTTCCCGTGACTTCCTCCAGGTTAGATCCCACACACCCAACCAATAAAAGGGTTGTTGAAGGCTTTTCTTATAAGTTGGGAGTTCACTGTTCTGTTCGAGTGACCTTGGCATCATTCCTTGTGACTGGCCACCAGGGATCACTGTCTGGAGATGGAGGAAGAGCTGGTCCTGAGAAGTTGGCTGACTGATGTGATTTTTTTTTTTAATGTTTATTTGTTTTTGAAAAAAAAAAAAAAAAACCAGAGAGGCAGACAGAGAGACAGAGAATCCCAAGCAGGCCCTGCTGCGCTGTCAGCACAGAGCCCAACGCAGGGCTCAAACTCACCAACCCATGAGATCACGACCTGGGCCAAAATCAAGAGTCCAATGCTTAACTGACTGAGCCCTCCAGGCACCCCTGATGTGATTTTGAATATTAGCTTAGGTTCTATGACAGCGAGGGGCGTTAGCCCCAAGGCAATGGGTCTTTTGTGTGTTCTTTTTTTTAATTTTTTAAAAGTTTTATCTAATCTCTGCACCCAACATGGGGCTCAAACTCACCACCCTGAGATCAGGAGTCACATGCTCTTTGGACTGAGCCAGCCAGGCGCCCCACGGCAACGGGTCTTAAGCAGAGGGGTTATATGAGCTGATCTGAGCTTTGACAAGGTTGCTCTGATGGCCACGAGGCAGTCTGTTGCACCTGGGCCCCAGCCTGTCATCCCAGACCCTCTTCTGGCACCCACTACCCTCTCCCAGGCCCTGTAAGAAGGGGGCCCTCAAGGAGGGGGCTTGTCCATTCAGGCCGGAAAGTGGGGTCCCCTTTGCCCCGGTCACCATTGCTGCTGTCAGACCATTATCCAGCCCTGAAAAGACACCTCCTTTGAAGCTACTACCTATCGTCCAGATGGGCCACACCTGTAGCCCACCCTCTCCTTGTCGCTGCCATCTATAAATGTCCTTGTTCTTCCCCTTTATTCTTTTTTTAAAATTTTTTTAAAATGTTTTATTTATTTCAGAGAGAGGGAGAAAAGAGAGAGAGAGACAGCGTGAGCAGGGGAGGGTCAGAGATAGAGGGAGATACAGAATCTGAAACAGGCTCCAGGCTCTGAGCCAGCTGTCAGCACAGAGCCCGACGTGGGGCTCGAACCCACGAACCGTGAGATCATGACCCGAGCCCAAGTCAGACGCTTAGCCGACTGAGCCACCCAGGCACCCGTCCCCTTTATTCTCTTGAGACTGCTCAGAACCTTTGCCTGTCCTTTCCATTGCCTGCATCTCATCCTAACTGTACCCTGCTAGTCACATAGCCTTGCCTAACCTTACCGAGGCCTTGCGTGAACGGTTTCCTAATCTGCCTGATAAATTCTGATCCTTCCCTCAAGAGTTATCTTAAGAAGTGCCTCTTTGGTGAAGCTTTTACTCTGCTAGGAGTTCTTAGCCGCCCCCTCCCTTTCCTCTGGGCTTTCACTGCACCTTGGCCATATACCTCCATGTCGGTAATTTTTTGCATTGTATTATATTTGTCTCTTTGCATCTACTCTTCCACTAAACCATAAGCTCCTTAGGGCAAGACTCCATGACTTCGTTTCTGAATTCCCGGCACCTCATACAATCCTGGGAATAGAGATGCCGCAAATATTTATTGGACGGATGGCTGAATGCGCATTTGCCGTTATCCCCAAAGCGGTGCAGAGCACGCAGGCATTCCTGCGAGTGTGTCGGCTCGAAGGATTTGGGTCGAGGTGCTCCTGAATGCCTTCTCATATATCTGTTTGTGGTCTTGCAGTTTGCCATCACTGTCATCCTTGTAACTCTTCATAGGCGTTTTCAGTGGGAAAGCGCATCAGGAGGCACACTCGCAGGCCCTGCATGCACAAGACGGAAAGGCGGTGTCGCTGCTAGGCATCTGGCCCCTCCTTTAGCCCCTTTCCGCTGCTTCCGGCCCTTCCTTTTCAGCGTGCTTTCAATACCCCCTCCCCTGCCTGCAGTTGAGAATGAGGCGCACTGCGACTTTGTGAAGCTGCGGGAGATGCTTATTCGGGTGAACATGGAGGACCTCCGGGAGCAGACCCACAGCCGGCACTACGAGCTCTACCGCCGCTGCAAGCTGGAGGAGATGGGCTTCAAAGACACCGACCCCGACAGCAAGCCTTTCAGGTACCTCTCTGGGCCGCCCAGCCCACCCAGGGGCTGTGGAAGGCTCGCCCGGGAGAACTCACACGGGGAGGCGAGACACGGGTGCCGAGACCTTAGAGCAGCAGGGCTGTCACCTGCCCGATCCACTCTGTCGCCCCCTCGGCTTGGCCGGGCTGGCTTGGTGAGCGCGGGGCAGGGAGACCCAGAGGGTGGGCAGGGCGCCCAGGCTACTGGCTGCGCATGCGCAGACACACACACACACACACACACACACACACACACACACACACAGAGAGGCACAGCCGCGCATGTGCACCAGCTGCAGTCCGCTGTGCCCCAGGAGACCCCTGAGCTGAGCCTTTCTTCTTCAATGTGGCAGTTTGTCCCTGTCCTCTGCCTCGCGCTGTAAGCGTGACTCACTCATGAAACTGTGAGATCATGACCTGAGCTGAAACCAACAGTCGGATGCTTAACCAACCGACTGAGCCACCCAGGCGCCCCTCAGCTTACTCCTGTAAATGTTGATTCTAGGATTCTGTCCTAGGGCCTCTGTTCCTGTCACTGTATTCTCTTTGCGGCAGGTTCTTTCTACTATCAGCCCTACTTAACCACCTAGAAATAGATGACTCCCACGCTGAAATCTTACTTTTGAGCTCTGAACCCATTGCTTCAACTGCATGCCAGATATTTGCACTCAGACATCCCATAGAAGACATACCTGAGATGTCAGCTGTCTAAGTTTTAATTCCTCTTCTTCCCTCCTTTTTTAAAAGTTTATTTATTTTGAGAGAGAAGGGGAAAGAAAGTACAAGTTGGGGAGAGGCCGAGAGAGGGAGACAGAATCTCAAGCAGGCTCCACGCCATCAGCAGAGCCTGATGTGGGGCTCGAACCCACGAACTGCGAGATCATGACCTGAGCCGAGATCCAGAGTCGGACGCTTAACTGACTTTCCCGTCTTCTTCTTCCCTCATTTTTAAACATGCTCCTTTTCCAGTGTTCCCTGCCACAGTTCATGGTACCACCGTCCACCTGGTGGCATGAGCCAAAAAACCCTGAATTATTATTTTTTTTAATGTTTTATTTCTTTTTGAAAGAGAATGAGAGAGACAGCGTGAGCAGGGGAGGGTCAGAGAGAGAGGGAGATACAAAATCTGAAACAGGCTCCAGGCTCTGAGCCAGCTGTCAGCACAGAGCCCGATGCGGGGTTCGAACCCACAAACTGTGAGATCATGACCTGAGCCGAAGTTGGACGCTTCACTGACTGAGCCACCCAGGCGCCCCAACCCCAAATTATTTTAAAGTCTTTCCAAGCTCCAGGAGTTCTGCTACTCTTACTGTTCCCTAACTTGCCCCAAATCTCCGTCCCTGCCAGCCCTTCACTTTCAGATCCCATAATTTCTTTTTTTTTTTTTTTCCTCCTAGTTCCTCCATCCCCCACCCACCTCCCCTCTGGCAACTACCAGTTTATTCTCTGTATTAAAGAGTCTGGTTTCTTTTGTTTGTCTTTTCTTTCTTTGTTCGATTGTTTTATTTCTTTGATCACACGTATGAATGAAATCACATGGTATTTGTCTTTCTCCGACTGACTTATTTCACGGAGCGTCACACCCTCTGGCTCCATCCATATTGTGGCAGATGGCAAGATCTCATCCTTTATTTTGTGGCTTTTTTGTGGGAGTCAGCAATCCCATCATTTATTTGGATTGTTGGGAAGTCTGTGGGTCATCCAACAGCCAGAGTGGTCTTTCTCACTTTCAAATTGCCTGAAAAAAACAGTCCCCCTGCTTAAAACCCTGCAGTGGATACCTGGCCAAGTCTGTAACACAGCGTCCAACAGCTGCTCTCTCCTGCCAGACACAGGAACCTCAGCGCCCCCTACTCCACGACTTGCTTGATCCCCTCCCACCATGTTGAACTATGCCTGGTTCCCCAAGTACATCATCCTCTCTCCACATGTGCCTTTCCACATGCTGCCCTCTTCGGAGCATGATTCCTCCTCTACTTCCTTAGGCTGACTCCTATTTCTATAAAACTGAGTCCAGGCTGGGGTCAGGGACACTTGGCCCAGGCATCTCCCGGTAGACCGTGAGTTCCTTGATCGCGAGCATAGTGGCTGTCAAATCTAGATGTTGAGTGACTAGCATAGCGGCACTTAGTTCTGCATCTAGCACATGATGGAGTTTCACCAAGTGTTTGAAATAGTTCATTAAGAGGCGCCTGGTTGGCTTAGTCGGTTGAGTGTCTGACTCTTGATTTCAGCTCAGGTCATGATTTCATGGTCATAGGATTGAGCCCCATGTTGGGCTTGGCGCTTACAGCATGGAGCGTGCTTGGGATTCTCTCTCCCTCTCTCTTTGCCCCTCCCCCCCTCAAAAAATAAATAAACTTAAAAAGAAAGAAAGAAAGAAAGAAACAGCTCATTAACGTGGTCAGTTTCAGGGCCAGGACCTGGGAGCACAGTGCAAAAGGAAGGATCCAGATTAAGAGATGAGAGATCCAACTTCCGGTCCCTGCCCTTCCTCTAACTAGCCATGTGGTCTTGAGCAAATCACCTCACCTCTCTGGTCCTATTTCCTCATCTGTATACCAGGACATAGAAGCAGATGTTCTAAGTCCAGTCCCAAACATCTTTTCCATTCACCAGGGCTACCCTGTGCCCCTCAAAGCCAGGCAGGTTCTGTTTTTGCACCTCTCCCCGCATTGGGGAAGGGAGGAAGGGGCAACCCGAGGAGGATCGCTGGGGCCAGTTTTCATCGAATGGGAACCATTCCAGGGGCAAGGGGATTAACCTGACTGTGTCTGCAGCTTACAGGAGACATACGAGGCCAAAAGGAACGAGTTCCTAGGGGAGCTCCAGAAGAAAGAAGAGGAGATGAGACAGATGTTCGTCCAGAGAGTCAAAGAGAAAGAAGCTGAGCTTAAAGAGGCAGAGAAAGAGGTAAATGTGACCCTGAGTGCCCAGGAGGCGGGAAAGAAGGGGCCGAGCTTGAGCATGGCAGGCAGGGGCTTCTGCCCTAAGGGCACGACCAGCCAGAGCCTTGTAGCTTACAGGCAGGAATGGGGCGCGGCATCTGCAGCCCTCCTTGGCTGGCACCGAGAGCACTGAGAGATCTATGTCTTCTTTTTTTTAATGTTTATTTATTTTTTGGGGGGGGGAGAGTGTACGGCCTCCAAGCGCGGGAGGGGCAGAGAGAGGAGAACAGAGGATCTGAAGCTGGCTGTGCACTGACAGCAGTGAGCCCAACGTGGGGCTCCAACTCCGGAAACGTGAGATTATGACCTGAGCCAAAGTTGGACACTCAGCCGATGGAGCCACCCAGGCGCCCCAAGATCTATGTCTTCTTGATTCCTCGTTCCCCAAGGCCGGGATGTGTTCTCATTCTCTGCGCTCCTTAATTCTCTAGAGTTGCACTCTCCCATAACAGTAGCCACTAGCCACGTGTGGCCATTTAAATTAAAATGAATTAAAATTAAATAAAACTGAAAACTCAGTTCCTCGGTCGTGTTAGCTGCATTTCAAATGCTCAGTCCTCATGTGACTAGGCTATCGGATTGGACAGCCCAGATATAGAATATTTGCATGACCGCAGGAAGTTCTAGTAGGCAACACTGCTCAAGAAGCAAGACCTGACCTACCCCATCAGGGTCAGGTGCAGACTCATTTTTTTCCCTCTTCCTGGCAGTTGGGAGCTCGGTAGGGACGGGTAAGCACTTTCCTGGCTGTCCCACCCCATGCTATCTGCTCCGACGGCCCTGCGGAAAGGGGTTCCCAGGCTGTCCTCAGTACCTTGCCGAAACCTGCCTCAGTGACAGACATCTGGGGCATTTCCCCGGTCACTTGGATATCCTGTCCCACTTCACGTTAGCAGTAGTAAGGGAACATCTGTGCAGCCCTGGCGAGTTTTTAAACTCAGGTTGGATCGTGTCTCTGGGGTTTTCATTACCTAAGCCGTGCCCGACAGAGTGAAGTTCGTCTTCCAACCGTTGGCTTGCCCCCAAGGTCCACTATCAGTTTGCCCACTGCTGCCCAAGTATGTGGCCTCAGCTCCCGGCTTAGTCACGCCAGTGACTGCTTCATCACTCTGGGCCTCGAGGCCCACGCAGACGGGAAGGACTGGGGCGCCTGCGGGGCTCAGTCGGTTGAGCGTCCAACTCTTGATCTCGGCTCAGGTCATGATCTCCCGGTTCGTGAGAGGGAGCCCTGCGTTGGGCTCTGGGCTGACAGCATGGAGCCTGCTTGGGATTCTCTTTCTCCCTCTCCCTCTGCCCCTGCCCCACTCGTGCTCGCTTTCTCTCTCTAGAAAACAAGAAGGGAAGCACTTACTTACTTCCCAAGTCTCTTTCCCCTGCCAGCCTCCTAGTAAAAGCTGGTCTACATGGCAAGCCCGGCACCCACCACCCCATTCTCCTTTGCATGTCTGGTTCAGTTTCGTTTTTGGGGTGTTTTTTTTTTGAAGATATACTTATTTTTGAGAGCGAGCACAAGCGGGGAAGGGGCAGAGAGAGAGGGGGACAGAAGATCCGGAGCGGGCTCTGCACTGACAGCAGTGAGCTCGATGTGGGGCTTGAACTCCCGAGCCGTGAGCTCATGACCTAAGCCGAAGTCAGATGCTCAACCGACTGAGCCACCCAGGTGCCCCTGCGTGTCTGGTTCTATTCGGAGCTAGCTGAGCCTCCCCTTGGTCAAAGCTGAGGTCTCTGCACTCATTCCATTTTATAAGATTCTTTTCTCACCTTCCATGTCTGAGAACAAGTATTTTCTGTGACCAGCTTTGGCCTTGCTGAAGTTTTCTCTGAGACACTTGATGATCCTCTTTGATTGCGGGGGGTGGGGGTGGGGTAAGAAAAGGGAGGGGCCCCTTTCATATCGGGAGATCTCGCAATACCATCCTCTTAAAGAATAGATCAGCCTTGGGCAGATTCCTTAACTCCTCTGACCTTCTGCGACGTGCAGATAATAACAGAGTGGCTGTTGATTCTAACAATGAATAGTCATCATTCCTAGTTCCCTGACCGTATTCTAGAGCAGAAACGTGGAGGTAAAGTGGCAGGAGAAGGGAACTCTCCAGAACACGGTGCCTTTTGGTGCCATCCTAGCAGTCCCTGGCAGAAACGTCTCCTGAGGTCCCAGGGTCCTGCGGGACGGTGTCCCCCCCACCCCCCGTCCCCGTCGGCCCCGGGGCCCGGCTCAGCTAGGAGCTCACTGTCAGCAAGGACTCTCCTCAGACTGCCTGTGCTCCCCCCCACAGTTGCACGAGAAGTTTGACCGCCTAAAGAAGCTACATCAGGACGAGAAGAAGAAGCTGGAGGACAAGAAGAAATCCCTGGACGATGAAGTGAACGCCTTCAAACAGAGGAAGACGGCGGCTGAGCTGCTCCAGTCACAGGGCCCCCAGGCTGGAGGTTCACAGACTCTGAAAAGGGACAAAGAGAAGAAAAAGTAAGTGGTAGGCTGCTCCAGGCTTGTGGCTTCATCCTCCTCCTGCCCGCCCCCCTCAGCGCAGGGCCTGGGGGCTGGCGGCCAGGGGTGAGCCGTGGGCTGACAGATACATTCGGGGACGTAGGACCGGGCTCAGTGTCCCCTGAGTTTGGGTGATTGAGAGTAGGGGATGGCTGAGGTCCCAGGGGCCGCCGGGCCCCTCTGCTCGGCCGCTTAGGAAACCCTGCAAAGCTCCAGGTAGGGGGAGAGGTAGGGACAGGAGAGGAGAGGCAACCGGAATGAGGGAGGGGACAAAGAAGAAAGGGAGGGCAGATAGACGGTAGAGGAGAGAGCGCGCCTCGGCAGAAGCCTCTGGGCATCCCCTTTCTCCCCAGAGGTTGGTGCCGATCCAGCTCACAGGCCGGCTCGCTCATCCTGTGTCCAAGGTGTTCACCTACATGCCTGTAGCCCCCTCCCCCAACCCCATTCTCACTTAGCTGCAGCCAGCAGTTTAATTGCTGCAGCCAGCAGTTTAATTGTTGCTACTGAAGGCTGCAGCCCAGTCCTGCTCTCCCACCCTGTGCTATGCATCCCTCTCGGCTGCTTAGCTGTTTCTGGCCCGGGGTACTGAGAACTTGGTGGGGAGCCCTCAGACGCTAGTAGGCTCCGTGTGGCCCATCCTCAAGGTGGGGAGTGATTGTACAGGGTGCCTAGGTCCCCTGCGACTTGGTAAGGCGGGCTAGTATGGGCCCCCGCCTACGTGCGGGTCCGTGACCCTGACCCGACTCCAGGCTTTGCTTGCCGAAGTCACCCACTCCTCACCCCGGAGCCAGAGGACAGAGAAGCATTTCCAGAGGGACCTACACAACACCAGGAAACAGTGCGGGGGTCCCTCGTGCTCTAGTTGTTTCTGCAGCGGGACTCGGGGAGCCCTCGGATGCACTGTTGGGCGATGGCCTTACTAAAGAAAGGGGCCTGAGGGTCCGAAAGGTGTCCAGGGTCATTGCCTTCTGTTCTTAGCTGCCTGTTCCTGACTCCACTGTTGCACATTTGCCAGAAGGAGGAAACGTCTTCCTTGCCTCTGTGCCTGGCTGATCACTTGGGAACGAAACAGTGGCTTCTGTTCAACAGTAAAAGATTTAATATTTGTAAGCACTCAACTGGGCAATCCAGTGGCTCAAAAGTGTAACTTGAACATTCTCGCCAATCAATCCAGAGATGCTTGTTACGAAGTCATAACACTTGGTGTCAGATTCACTGACTAATGAACTGTTTTTTGGCGTTACCTGGTGGATAAACTTTAACTGGCAGGGAAGCAAAGTGCCATTGGACACATTGATGCCCCTCTCTCACTCCAGGCAGAGGACCCTAGACAGGGAGCCGTGTCTCCCCAGTCTCCAGGAATATTTGGGATTGGTGATGGCACCTTTGTCCAATTCTGAGATGGGTGACAACCTTGCTGTCATGGGGTGCCGCATATTAGCAATGTGACAAAATAGACTGTCCTCTCCCATCCTTCCAGACACAGAAATGGTCCCAGGCCTGGGCTGCTTCTTCTTTTATTTTAAATAATTTTTTTTAACATTAACTTATTTTTGAGAGAGAGGGAGAGACAGACTATGAGCAGGGGAGGGGCAGAGAGAGAGGTGGAGACACAGAATCCGAAGCAGGCTCCAGGCTCTGAGCTAGCTGTCAGCATAGAGCCCGACGCGGGGCTCGAACTCACAAACCGTGAGATCATGACCTGAGCCGGAGCCAGACGCTAAACGGATGGAGCCACCCAGGTGCCCTTTGGGCTTCTTCTGTAATTCCATGAACAGTTGGCTAACTTCTGGAGAACCCTTCTGTAGATCTGGGCCATTCTGCTCCCATGGAGCTGATGACGGGGGTAGGTTTGGAGGGTACAGGTCGTAGCAGTAGGCACTTCTTAAGAGATGGTGGCTGGGTCTAATAGAGTCACATATTCAGAATTTCCTCTGGCTGCCCTTAAAGAGGTTAAGAAAGAGTATCGGTGTTCCGGGGGTCCCTCCCAGCCCGCCCTTCCTCCCTGCCCCCACTCTTCCTCATTTCCTTTGACCTCTAACCCATCATTGTGTCAGCTCATAATATTGGATTTCTCCTCAAGCTCACCCCATCTTCATCAGCTCTTACTGTTTTACAGTTAACTCTGCTGTTTGCTGCATGCTGCATGAGACCCAGGGCCCTGGTAAGCTTTATTAACTCTAAATAGAGCGGGCAGTGGCTTCTAGAACACGTGTCCCCCCCATCCCACTCCCCGCCCAACACACATATCTGATCTGGCCAGAAGCCGCTTCACCGTCCTGGCTCTTGGGACTTTATGGCATGATGACACAGTGCGCTGTGGTCTCAGGTGTACATGTGGCATGTTTGCCTGCGGGATGAGGCTGCAGGGCCTCAATACTTGAGGTTTCAGTTGTGGCCATTCTTTTTTTCTTAAAAGTGCCTTAGTCCTTGCTTTCGAGAATAACTCACGTGTAAGTGACGAGGGAAGCTGTAGGGTTTGGGAGGCTGTCCCGCAGCGTCACACTTGGCATTGACCCCCAGGTTTGGGAATGTTCCAAGTCGACGGAAACTTGCTTCTCTATTTCCCTCTGGTGGCGGTTTCTTTTTTAAAAAATTTTTAAAAATCTTTATTTATTTTTGAGAGAGAGACAGACAGAGTGTAAGCCGGGGAGGAGCAGAGAGAGGGAGACACAGAATCCAAAGCAGGCTCCGGACTCTGAGCTGTCAGCACAGAGCTGGAGGTGGGGCTCGAAACCATGCACTGTGAGATCATGACCTGAGGTGAAGTCGGATGCTCAACCGACTGAGCCACCCAGGTGCCCCTCTCTGGTGGCTATTTCTTATCTAAGGGGTTCAAGTTCTAAAATTCCCTTTGGCTATGTGCACCCCACCCCCCCCAAAAAAACCCTATAATACAAGTGAAAGAAAATGAAGAGATTTCAAATATTATAGAGATTTCCTCACATTTCATTCTATGCATACATACCAGTGTTTATGTACACCTTTGATAAGAAGGTAAGCAGGTGACCTTTAGTAACATGGACTCCTGAGGGCTAAGCATTATGTCTACAGAGCGAACAAAAGCGGTCCTTGAGGCCATGTAGTTTATACGTTGATTATAGCAATGATTAAGCACCTTCTGTCTACTCTTCTAGACTCAGTGAGCAGGGAGGGGAACATAAATATGTTTCATTTAACATAATTAGGCTTATTACTTTACCATAGAAACTTCCAAACAGGAACAAAAGAAGAGAGAGGATAGTATAACACAGCCCCCTGTGCCCACAACCCAGCCCCCAAACGACCGTCAACATCTGGCCAATCGCATCTCCTCTATTATCCCAGACCTGCTGGAGCATTCTAAGCAAAACCCTCACTGGTTCACCTGTAAATACTTCAGCATGTAGCTCGAAGAGCTAATGACTCTTAACAACAACAATAAAAAAATCCATAACCACAACGCCACCGTTGTCACACCTACAAAATTAACAATTGTTAACCTAAAATTTCTAGTCCATGTTCAGAAAACCCCAGTCGTCTCATAAGGGCCGGTTCCACTTGCTTTGTTTGGATCAGGGAATATCAAATACCAGGAAGACTTCCCCCCCACTCACCGACGTAGTTTAGGATTTCAGTGGGGCGCCCGCTGTGAGGTCCCCCAAACCGATGGCTGCAGCTACTACTCCGGGGACTTTGGACAGCTGGCCAGACTTCCTACTTGCAAGCAGATCTCGAAGAGGAGTCCAGGGAGGCTTCTGAAAGATGAGGCCCCTGAAATTGGGCCAAAGGGCACCACCCTCAGAGAACAATGAGACGATGTGTTGTCTGGCTTATCTAGGCACGTCTTGGAGCCCCTGTTCATTGACGGGAATGAAAGGGCAGATCTCCATCTAGAAGGCCGTGAGCTCCTCCAGGGTTGTCTGCTGCTGCAGTTCTAGTGCGCAGCCAAGTGTCGGGTGCCCGGAGGGGCTCCACTCTCTGTCCCCCCCCCCCACCACCGTCACCAGTGAGGCCAGCAGTAACGCCCGTATCACGGCAGCTCGGGTCTCAGTGGATTCAGGTTGCGGTGCACAAGGCTGGTGACAATTCGGTTGCGGTTCCCCTGAGTAAATCACTGTTGGGAGCCATTGCGAAAATGAATTCTGGGGAAGCCATCATTAAAGACACGCTGTGCCCGTGAGAGGCAGTCGGCAAGCGGTGGGAACGGCCCACCCCAACCCCCAGGGTTGGCTTCTCCTGGCAGGCTTCTCCCCAGTCGCCCGCGAAAGTGGTTCCAAACCAAATAAGAGAGGGAGGCCTTAGCTCTGTGGGATCTGAAAGCCACAAAGGAAGCCTGTCCCCTCCCCAAAGCCCTCTTTCCAGGGGCGGATCACAAAGGTCACCCCTCATTAACTGGAGTGCGAGCAGAGGGAAGCTGGCCGTTTCCTCACTGGCTTTGAAATGGCTTGGGGCCCTACAGGCTGCACTCTGCAATTGTAAGAGAAATTCCTCTGTGACCCATACGCAGTCACAGATCCTGTATCTCCGTGGCTACTGGCCCCTTGACCCGCGTGTGTGGGGGGCACGCAGCAGGTGGACGGTACACACCTATCGAAATCAATCCACCTTCCCACGCCGCCCAGCGCATGGGCCATTGCAGTGTTGTTTGGGCCTCTCTTCCCCTCGGGAGGAGACAAAGACTAAAATAAGAGGGGAGCATCCTGGATAGCATTGTCATACTCCTCAGAGCGGGTCTCCAGACGATATATTCTCTTCACCTTGCGGCAGTTCTGCAAGGTAGGGAAGGAAGAAATGATCTTCAGTTTGCAAGATGAGCAGATGGAGGCGTGGGGAATCTCGGAGCCTTACCCAGGGTCACACACAGTGAGTTAGTGGCAGAGCTGGAACAAGAACGCAGAACTCCTTCCTGGCATAACTGGCTCTTCACAGGAGCGAGAGAATGTGCAGAGGCGTATGGATATATTCCCTCTACGGAAGTGACCACACAAATACACTCATATCTGCATATTCTTTTAACCATCCCTCCCAAATATCTCATAGCCTTACTTTAATGAGATAAATGTATTCTTCGGGTAACAAGACGGAGGCTTAGAAACACAAGCAAAGAATTCTCAGGAACACGTCAGTGCCATGGAAAGTGACTTGATCAAACAGCCAGAGGCTTCAGGCTCTGATCCTGTGACTCTTTCTTTCTGACCACCGAAACATCGGGTGGTATCTCTGTGTTTCCCAGTCACCTCATAAGTCAAAAGGGGATTGATACTACTTGCTCTGCTAATGTCACCGGCACAGAGGTTTAAATGACAGAAAGGTCAAAGTGCTGTGCGAACACAAACCCGTAATGGATTTGCCGTAGCTCCGGTTTGTCAGGTAACTGAGGTCCGGAGCCTAGAGCAGACTGCCTCAACCGTCCCTGATACTTCTCAGTCTTGCCCCAGGGTCCCAGTTAGCTGACTGGGGCTGCTCCGAAGTAAGCTCCACTCTTTGCCTTCCCTATGGGCCCAGGCAGTCGGTGGCCTGGGCGAGAGCCGCGGCCACCTGGAGATTCCTGTAGTATCTGGGTGGGGGTGGGCATTAGGAATTAAGAAGTAATTAAGAAGAGAGAAAGTATTCTTGTGGCTGTTGATAATGATTTTGCCGGCTTGATGCCACTGTCCTGCCATTCAGAGGTGTGTGGGGGTGTGTGTGAGAGAAAGCATGTTCCCAGGAGCCAATGCAACGAGACCTTATTCTAACATAGCTGTATTCTAATTATCCATTAGTCACCACGACAATTTTCTTCTAACTTTTTTTTTTTTTTTTGGTACATTAATCCATCCGTTCATTAACCCAACTTCTCTTTTCATTTTCAGTTTGGGCTTCCTGTAGACGCCCTTTTCCTGCGCAACAGAGCTGGGCCTCCCTTTCTCTAACTCCCCCTTAACACGTCCGGGGGCGGGGAGCGCACGACCTGTGCCCTCCCCGCTCTTCCTGCCAAAGTTTATAGAAGCCCGGGAATCTGAGGACGGGGTCTGGCCTCTGGTCAAGAAGCCAGCGGTCACGTGTTTTGGAGATGCCTGGCGCATCCCAGCGCCCCTCCCGGCGCCCCTCTGTAACCTGTTCCAGGGTCCCACCTGCCATTCCCCACCACCGGCTTTCCTGCTGGAGTTCTGACTGCTGCTTGTTTCCCGGAAGTATTTGCATCCACCGTGGCTGGGTCCCCCTTAGTCCCCAGGCACTGGGCCACCACCCCTTCCGAGAGGTGGGAGGAGCCCCTTCTCAGAGGCTCCCGCGAGGAGGTCCTCTGCTGCCTTTTCCTTCTGGCCTCTCAGCCCAGCCCTTTCCAGTGTTGAGTTGCTCCAAGTAAGTGCTCTCTAGCTGTGTCAAAAAGTCCAGGACGCGTTTACTTACACTGAGCCCTTTCCCGAAAACACGACTGCTGAAGAAAATAGCATAGATTTCGCCTCTCTATAATGCCGGGTACCCCACAAATGCAGAAGGGAGAATAAACCTGAATATTACCACCAGCCTAGTGTCTTCAATGATAGACTTCTGGAATTCTTCGGAGGTGTCTCAGTATCTTTGTAATCGCCCTTACGGCCCCTACACCATCCCCATCAGGCAGGGCCAGTAGCAGGTGCATGTTGGAAACTGCCAAACCGAGCGGTCAAAGAAGCAAAGTTTTCAGTTTTGCACTGATGGATCTGTATTTTGCATGTGTCCACCCCCCCTTACCTCCCCCCACCCCGCATAAGAAGAGGTGAGACTATCAGTTGGGGAGGAAAACACGAGGTGTTGTGCTTTGGAAGTTCCCAAACCTTATCTCCAGTCTAAGGATGTGATATCTAAAAACTATTCCAGCCCTAATTTTTATCATGGGCCCATCTGCTCTCAGCTTTGGGAACACCTGCAAGGTAAAGAGCCCTCCAACATCAGGGCCACGAGGTAAAGTGTGGCCTATGGTGTTTGGCCAGTAAGAGAGCGAGCGAGCGAGCGAGCGAGCGAGCTGAAGGTCACCTGGCAATGATCTGTGGCTAACACGCCGTTTCTCTGCCCTTCCTTTGCAGTAACCCATGGCTGTGTACTGAATAGTGCCCCCTGCTACAGCTGGACTGGACTCCATTTAGCCCTTTAAGCCAAGATTCCTATTTTAACTGACAGCTTTCCTTTGGGGTGCCAGGCAGCACCCCCACCTCCACCCCTGCCATGTACTTTCACTCTGAGCCCCGTTTCTTCTTTTGAGTTCTGCCTCCGAGTCCACTGGCATTGATCATGACCTTCTTTTGTATTTTTTTTTCCTTAGTTTTTTTTCTTACCACTTTTTTTTCCCTCCTTCAAACACACACAGTTAAACTAGGCTATGCCAAATTTTCCGGGCTTTTTGAAGTGTTGGGAATGGGGAGAGGGTTTCCTCTCTTCCATGATAGATAATAATAGGAAGTGAAAAGTAGAACAAACCAAAAAAGCACCCCCCACACACACTTTATATTTTCTTGTTGGTGCAGCAAGAGTGCAGTTTTGCTGTGTGTTGTTTGGTGAGTCACTGATTGGTTAGTGACCAGAGGCGAGTATGAAATATAAGCCAGTTTCTTGAGAAACTAGAAAGGGCCTTTAGAAAGTCTCATCGTGGAGCAAGTTAGGAGGCCCCGTACTTGCTGGTTCAAAACAATACAAAACACACAAAAATGGATACTCAGCTCAGAGAGATGCTAGTTAGAGCCGAGAGCCGTCAGTCTCCTTGGGAAAGGCCTCTTATTTGCAGCTTTGATGTCTCCACATCCAGTTTTACAGCGATTTCCCAAGAACCTCAAACTTAAACAACCAGCGAACCTCCACTTCCCGGGTTATTACTTGCATTACAAACAGGAGGCCCCCCTCATTTACATTTGTTTACGGATTAACTTGCGGCTGGAGGAGCTCTGAAAACTTCAAAAGTAGTGCTCGCTTCGGCAGCACATATACTGAAAACTTCAAAAGTAGTAGACGGCCCACCCAGCCTTTGGGAGAGCTTCTGGGACTAGGCAGAAATTTCGCAACGTGAGAAAAATTTCGGCCCATGAAACAGATCTGACCCACTTTTTTTTTTCTTCTGTAAGGGCAGTTGAGGCCCAGAGACGTCCAGGGACGTGCCAGATGTCCCATATCTTTCACGGCAGAAGCCAGGCGACATTCAGTGTCTCCTGACTCGCGATCCGGTTCACAAATGGGTCCAACCTGTTCCTATATGTTCCTGGACACCAAAGTCTTTTGATGTCCGGAGAAAGTGAATAGTTAGCATTGCAAGGCCTTTGAGGGTCCCCTCCCAGAGAAAGATCTCTGAGGATGGAGCGGGCCAGCTCCTGAACTGGTCGTTTCTGCTGACGGTGCCCGTTTGCTGGTCAGCTTTCCTGGAAGTCTGGAGTGGGGCCCAGGCGTGCGAAAGTATAACAGGTGCCTAGATGATCCTTGTACTCAAGGAAGTTTGGCAAACAAAAATCTAATCTGGGAGTGAACATGAGGCCTCTAGAAAGTCGATTAAAAGGCTTAAAATAGTTATTTTATTGGGTAGCTTTTCTCATTATAGACAGAAAGGGTTTTCCGCCCCTTCTGCAGGGAAAAGGCTTTTTAATTAGTGCAATGGTGATTGGTTTTCTTACATACCCTGACTACTCTGTTGACTTCAGGTGAAGCAAAACTTGTCATTAGAAATGGTCTGAGCTTTCCTGAAAAATCTCCACATGTGATCTCACACACACACACACACACACACACACACACTTCATTTCTCTTAAGCCAAGAAGTTTGCTTTTCCTACCTGAGGTGCAGATCACTTTTGGTTTCGGTTTTGATGTTAATCATTTGGCGTTCACATGTGGCTGTTTTTAATTAAAACAAGAAGCTTTAAACCCAGTGTCTGGTGTCCTTATCAGCAGACTTCCCCCGGTGCCTGCCGTCTATCAGCGCCCCGTCTCTAACCTGTCTCCTCCAAGTACAGTCTGTGCTACCTTATGCTGCCCACTCCCCTTGCCTGGTCTTACATTGAATGTCCTTTTTCTTCGGCTAACGTCGTGTTTTCTTTCTCTTTTCTCTCTCCCTCTCCAGCTTTTTTTAATCTTGTCTCCAGCAGCTGCACTAAGTCTAAAGGAGAAGACTGCCCCATTATAGAAGAGTTAGGGTTCCACATTGTCTCAGACCAGAAACCAACCAAACCCATCTCCCCTCATACCGTGCACACACACACCCCGCACACTCAGCAAGTGTTCATGTGTCCCCATGTGTACCCGCGTCCAGGCAAGAAGCTCTCTCCTGACCTACATGGTATTATAAATGGAAATGTCTTGTCCTGACCTCACAAGGCAGGAGAAGAACCTCAGAGCCGGAGAGTGGACCAAATGTAACCTCAGAGAGACCACTACAGACGACTCACCCAAATGTAAGCGACTGGGGCCGGAGGCCTCAGCTGTGGGTGTGGATGTGCTGTTCCCGAGTTTTCCGTTTTGCCTCTTTACATGCCAGTTCTCGGGTTCAATGGGTTGGCTGTCTAAGGCCACTGTTAAGCATCCTTGAATACGGAAGAGAAAGTCAAGCGACAGTCATATCTTCAGCATTCACAGACCTTCCGCAGACCCCCCAGCAAGGGGGGAAATGGATCCAGTAACACTCAGGTGGGGAAGGGAGAGACGTGCCGGGGGGGTTAAACTTAGAGCAAAATTACTCCATTCAACCCTCCAAGGCCAGTTGGGGGTTTTGAGAGAGGGTTCTACCCCACCTGAGATCTGCAAAGAGAGCTTTGACATTGATAAATCTGACTTGAATTCATTGGCTTGACTTGCATCAAAATACCACGTGAGCGTGCTCACTCCCCGGCCGCCCCGCCACTGCCATTCAGCTGTCCAGTGTCTCCTGAGAGAGCCTCTTTGCATGGTTTCCAGAATCTGTGTTTTCCCTTTCTTCTCCTTTGTTCTTTTTTTTTTTTTTTTTTTCCCCCTGCTCAAGAGTGTGACCAGTCACTTCCCCTCTGGGGCTTTCATTTGCCAGGAGAAACATCCCGAAACCAGCACTGTTCAGCTTGGTACCTTTCTAATGTCCATGTCAGTTTTCAATAAAATTTAAAGAAATGCTCAATGGCTGTGTGATCTGATCTTAAATCTTTAAGTGATGTGTTTCACCATGGTGGAACGCCCTAGGCAGGGTGGGTGGGTGGGTGCCTTCCAAGTGGGTGACTTACAGGGCTCAGAGAGGCAAGCCCATATGCAATCTTCAGAGGTGGGCTGCTGTGCCCCTCCTCCCCATTTGGGCCTGAGATTCCCAGGGGGTGGGCAGGAAGTACTCTTCTTTTCCTCCGTTAGCGTGGACTTATTTTTTTTCATGTTTATTTATCTTTGAGAGGGAGAGAGAGTGTGAACAGGGGAGGGGCAGAGAGAGAGAGGAAGTTGCAGAATCCAAAGCAGGCTCCAGGCTCTGAGCTGTCAGCCCAGAACCCCATGCTGGGCTCGAACTCACCAACTGCGAGGTTATGGCCTAAGCAGAAGTTGGACGCTTAACCGAGGGAGCCACCCAGGCACCCCAATTAGTGTGGATTTAAATGATGCTTTGAGCTGATTATCATCCAGGATAAAGTGTCTTGGAAGTGAAGTGCCAGATCCTACCAACAAGATTCTGGTGAGTTTTGATTCCTGAAGGAAATTCAGAACTCTGCACTGCATGTCTCCTTTCATTTAACCCTGTGATGTGAGCACACATCATGAATGATAATTCATGAACACGACTGTTCTTTATACTCGGAAAGCATTCTATAGATAGCAAGTAGGGCTTTATGTCCCGGGTCTACCGGAGAGAGAAGCCTCCTGCTGTCCTCCCCAACATTAAGGCGGGCAAGAAGGGAGGATGGTCAGTTTTCTACAATTCTGGTTGGGGTCAAGATAGGGTTTTTTTTTTTTTTTCCTCAGCTTCATTTTCTTATCGACCAGAGGCAGGAGACGAGAGATTGTTCCCTATCTTCTCTGTAAGAGAGGAAACAACACTGGCCTGCGTCTGTGCAGCTCACACACTAGAGGGCAGTCGAGAGAGAGAGAGGAGAGAGAGAAAAAACATTCGTGTATGACGTTACTGAGCAGGGGCGGGCACTTAGGTATGGAAAAATACAGGCTCTGGAGCTAGACACCCTAGCTATCCGGGGCAAGTTGGGTTAAAAACTTCTCTGTAAAAGGAGACAATAAGTAATTCCCTTGCAGGGCGATTGTGAAAGCTACATGAGCTAATGTAACTTAACCATCTGGCCGTTCTGTAAGCCACAGCCCTTATTAAGGATGGAGTTTTCCCTTTACTAGGAGTACCTTAGGTTCCTCTAATCTAGAGTTCCTCAACCTCAGCACTATTGACTTTTGAGGCCAGAGACTTCTGTGTTATAGGGGCTGTTCTGTGCCTTGTAGCCTGCTTAGAGCATCCCTACCTACTAGATGTCAGTAGCACCCACCTCTCCCCCCAGGTTGTGATCACCAAAAATGTTTCCCCACATTGCCAAGCGCCTCCTGGAGGGCCACATCGTCCCATATTGAGAACCATTGTGGTAAACCAGGGGTCAGCAAACTTCTCATACAAAGGACCAGCTGGTAAGTTGCAGGTAATGTGGTCTCTGCAACCCGTTCAACTGTCACTATAGCACGAAAGCCACCATAGAGACCACGGGAAAGGATTGAGCCTGGGCTGGGTGCCAATAAAACTTTACTTACAGATACTGAAATTTACAATTCACCCGTGAATTTCCTTTTCCCATGTCCTGAAGTATTACTCTTGATTTTTTCCAACTATCAGAAAATGTAAAAACCATTCTTAGCACGAGGACTTTCGAATGCAGGCAGCGGGACCAGTCTGGGCCTGTGAGTGGTTTGGCAACCCCCACTCCTAATGTATTTTAGTGCTTGTTGATGCGTCATCGAACCTAAAAGTGTTAGAAGTAACTGGCCAGTCGAAAGAAATCAGAAATGAAGACAAATGGCTGAGGTCTGAATGCAAGGTAGTGGGGCTGAGGGAGGGGAAATAACTAAAATCTGCACACAGTTTTACTGGAGCATGGGAGGGGTCAGGGGCATGCTGTGGCAATGAGCACCTGCTCCTGGGGCACTGCTGAGCAAGCGACAATGCCAACTGCTTCTAGGGAGAGAGCTGGGCCCCTAGAACCCTCAAAGAGGCGTAGCCACCGGGGCTCCAGTTGTATGCACCGAGATTAAGCAGCACCCTCTGCCATCAGAAATGCCCCCCACATAGGGAGACTCAGCTCTTTGCTAAAAGCACGGCTGTCGTGCAAAGCCACTCTTCTCAAATGTGGGTACCCCTTGAAAGAGTTATGTACCAGAATAGTGGTACCTCACAGTGGTTTTGCCACCTGGTCCTACCTTTTTTTTTTTTTTTTAAATATTTTTATTTATTTCTAGGAGAGAGAGAGAGAGACAGCATGAGCAGGGGAGGGTCAGAGAGAGAGGGAGATACAGATTCTGAAATAGGCTCCAGGCTCTGAGCTGGCAGTCAGCACAGAGCCCGACGCGGGGCTCAAACCCACGAACCGCGAGATCATGACCCAAGCGAAAGTCGGACGCTTAACCGACTAAGCCACCCAGGCGCCCCCCACCTGGTCCTACCTTACACCTGTGTCTATCCAGATCCTACACTACCCCTCGTTTGGCTTGGGTTTTAGGAAGTCCCTGCTCTGGGCTCAACACCTGTAAAAAAGTATATGTCTATTTATTAGGTGTAGACTTGGGGCCAAACTCCTTATTTTGGTTTTGGGCTTAAATTATCCTCAATCCAACAATAAGAGTATGTTGGACACCTGTGGGTTTGGCCTGGTGCCCTATGCTATGGGGTTACTTTTGCATGAGATCGAGAAGCTTTTGAGGAACTTACAGTCTAGCCATCTCTCATCTATTCAATCATATTCTTCAGTCTTCCTAATACCTAGTCTTCATTCTAGTCCATCCGTCTGCATAGTCCTCTCCTGGAGTTACACAAACTATCTGTTGACTTTGTCTAAAATATCCTCTATGGGGGTGCCTGGGTGGCTCACTCGGTTGAGCATCCGACTTCAGCTCAGGTCATGATCTCACAGTTTGTGGGTTCAAGCCCCGCGTGGGGCTCTGTGCTGACAGCTCAGAGCCTGGAGCCTTCTTCAGATTCTGTGTCTCCCTCTCTCTCTGCCCCTCCCCTGCTCATTCTCTGTTGCTCTCTACCTCTCAAAAATAAACACATGTTAAAAAATAAAATAAAATATCCTTTACTGATTTAAATCCTGCTTTTGAGGCTCAGGCCCTACCTTCTCCTTGAAGTCCTTCTTGACCCCATCCATGTAGCCTGATCTCTTCTCCATTTTCTTTTTTTCTTTTTAAAAATTTTTAAGGTTTATTTATTTTTTTTTTAAATTTTTTTTTAATGTTTTCATTTATTTCTAGGAGAGAGAGAGAGACAGCGTGAGCAGGGGAGGGTCAGAGAGAGAGGGAGTCACAGACTCTGAAACAGGCTCCAGGCTCTGAGCTGGCAGTCAGCACAGAGCCCGATGCGGGGCTCGAACCCACGAACCGTGAGATCATGACCTAAGCGAAAGTCGGACGCTTAACCGACTAAGCCACCCAGGCGCCCCTAAGGTTTATTTATTTTGAGACAGAGAGACAGAGTGTGAGCAGGGGAGGGGAAGAGTGAGAGGGAGACAGAATCCAAAATAGGCTCCAGGCTCTGAGCTGTCAGCACAGAGCCTGATGCAGGGCTCGAACCCACGAGGGAGATCATGACCTGAGCAGAAGTCGGATGCTTAACCGACTGAGCCACCCAGGCGCCCCTACATTTTCAAACTTCCTAGCTGAACTTTTATCTTTGCTGCCTCCTGTTTGAGAGGCCTCCATCCCCAAGAGATGTTAAGCTTCCTAAGGGTAGGAACACCATTTATAGCCCTTCAGAGAACCCAGTAAGTTGGACACCCAACAAAAAGTAATTAAGAGGTAGCTAGATTGAGATTCTTCAGCAATGTAGGGAGTTATTGTACTTTTCCAACACTTAATTTTGGAATTAAGTGATGAGAATACTATAAACTATAGCCACGTA